CGCCGGGTGTGACCCGCTGCGGTAAAAGGGGCCACCCCCCCATTCCCCCCCCCCCGGGGAGGGTTTTCTGATTAGCAAAAAGAAAAACAACAAAAAGTTCCTCCACACACATCAGATACACAAGGAGAGAAAACAAAAACTTTACATTTTTATTTTCATTTATTTACCTTATTTCATGATTATTTTTTATTCAATGAGAATTTACCCGAATCTGCACTCGTATTAGCCTTCCATCATCCTCTGTACAGCCGTGCTCAGACTAGGAGATGGAGACAAGGGAAGAATATCAGCCAATCAGGCTCTGCGGCAGTGCACATGCTGACAGGAGAGAGCAGAGTGATGGGCTATTGTGCTGCTGTCCAATCAGAAGGCTGAGGAGGGGGGGGGCGCGGTCTCTGACCCAGCCGTGATGCTGCAGTGGAAGTGCTCATCTGTTACTGTCCGGCAGGGGTGTCAGAGCAGAGCTGTCAATCATTTAGGGGGTAGAACAAGGGCTGTCCTTATAACAAGGCAGCCTGAGTCGTTTGCCTCATGTGGCATGTCATTGGATCACTTGTGGGGGGCAGCAGGTGCGCCTGTTGCCCCCTTTCCGGCCAGAGCATCCCAGGCGGCTAAAAGCTCTGTGATGCTCTGCCCAGCTCATGGCAACCAGTGATATCAGTGAGCTGGGCAGAGCTACCATGCCCCCACCCCCCTGGTAACATGCCCGCCAGCACCCCGCAACCAACTAAGAACACCCACTCCTCCAGGTGACATCCACCTATCAAGGCATTTTGATATTTGCATAACTCCTCCTCAGAGCCGGCCCACTGCTCGAATTAGGGCTGAAGGCTCTTGGGAGGAGAGGGGGCTCTTGAGGGTGCTGTGGCAACTGGTGGGCAGAGATCATGTGATCTGGCCTACCCAGGCTGGAATTAAAGTACCGAGGCATCCGGCTGGCTCCGCCCACCAACCATGATCTGCCTGCATTACCCAAAGCAGCACAGAGACGCAGCCCCTGTCCTTCTCTATGGGACTACGCGGCCGTACGCCCCCCTGCCCTGCACGTCAGTACGGATGCGGGTGAGCGTACACGTACACTGCGTCAGAGCCGGGACACCCGCACCCGTATGGACCGGCACTTGGGGTGAGCGTAGGGCCGCGTACTCCCATAGAGAAGGACGGGCTGCCTACTAATCACACGCAGCACCTGTCCTCCCCGGGAGCTGCACGATACGGCCGTGCACGCAGCTGTACGTGCCGGCCGATTCTCGTGTGAACGAGGGCTAATCTTTAAACCAATCAGGAGGCGGCTTGTCTGCATATTCATCATTTTTAATCTCAAACTTGCACATTTACAAAGTCAGGGAGCAGCATCCGTGTATCAAGAAACAAAGAAAGTAAGTACAAAAACAGAGACCAATCAGAAAGAAGAATTCATCCCGAGTCTCTTCTCTTCATCATCCTACCAGGTGCATAAAGTATTTATGGAAGGACAACAAAAAAACAAAAATGGCGGAAGGGGTGTCACCCCACACACGGCACTAGTCACAGTGGTCCATACACTCAGACCGGTAAAAATAGGAAAAACCAAAAAAAAAAAAAGTTTCATAAATATAATCTCTGAACTCTGAAATATAAAATGGATTCTTCTCTCGAAATTCAGTTTTTGTGGTTTTTTTGTTTTTCTTTCAAGTGCAAAGTTCATTCTTGCCCGACATTCGGAGGAGGGGAGGGGGGGCATTTGGCACAAAATAATTCCAATGCTGGAGGCAGCCGGAGGATCGTCGGGTCGGTTGGCAGCGGAAGTGGCGGGACCACAGCTGGACTGCAGACGTTGCCAACCCTTGCTGTAGATTGAGGGCCCATTCACACAGCGCGGAGCGGAGCCATACAGATCAGAGCGGTGCGCACAGCTGTATTGGGCCGTTCCCAGGAAGGACAGGTGCTATGTGTCCTATGGGAGGACGCAGCTGTACGCTGTCCTGCGTCACCTGAGCTGAACATCCGTGCGGGTGGCGGTGTCCGTGCTTAGACGCAGCCAGGATCCATCCTGTCTGCGTCCGAGTACAGACATCCGCATGGGTGAGCGTATTGGCCGCGTCCTTCCATATGGAAGAACAAGCTGCTGTGTACAATCACATGCAGCGGCCGTCCTTCCCGGGAATGGCCCGATACGGCCGCGGACTTGTATGGCCCGACCGTGCGCTGTGTGAATGAGGCCTAATGCATTGCAGCTAGATGAGGCAAAGCACCTTAAATGACTTCTTTCTGAATAGCGCCCCGTCACGCTTCGCTGCACGCACGGTTTTCTGATCCTCGGTGGTGCCCTGCTCATTCTGAATGCAACACGCAGCAGTGTACTAGGCAGGTGTGTATGGGCCCCAAGGGCGCTGCAATAACCCGCACAGTGGTACCTCGGTTCGCAAACAGGAAGTTCGGCAAAACGTTGCGTCCGCTCGCGAACTCCGCATCGGGTGATGAGCACGACCGCAGCCATCTTCCCCGCTCTGACACGTGGTCGTGGCTTCCTCCAGTCGAGATCGCGGTCTGATCGCAGTTTGATTCGGTTCGCGACCAGAATCGTGGAGCAAATGACGCTCGTGAACCGAGGTACCACTGTATGTTTTGCAACAGCGCAGCCCAGAGATCGTCCACATCTGCAGCATTTTCCCCCAAACGCAGCGCGCCACAACACACGCCCGGTGCACATCTGAGCGTTATAGTTCATGCGCATCTGTATTCTGAATGGTACCGCGGCCCAGCACACAGGGTATACTGTTTTATATTAACTGGACCCCGGGCAAACATTTTCTTGGGCCCCCCAACAAAAGAGCAGATAGGAGGAAACCTTAGGAGACATGACTCAGCGTGAGACGTTGCGCTATGCGGCGTACAGCAGGGGCGTAGCAACACTGCGCAATGCAGATTACATAGTAAACAGAACGGTGACACGTGTGCATCTTTTGTGGGCTCAAGGGGCAAGTGCTTTGGGCCCCACAACAATGACTGGGCCCTGGGCAACTGCCCCTTTTGCCCTGCGTTAAAGACGGCCCTGAGTATGCTCCATGCGGATGTAGAGCTCAGCCTTTTGTATCTGACCAGCACAGAAACCATATCAGATATTTGCTGGATGTAGACACGGCGAGTGCAGAGAGTCCAAGCGTTGCGACAATGCGACGTCGTCTGAACTCTCTGCACTCGGGTGTAAGCCCCATTCACACCTAGGCGTATTGTAATATGCGCGACCGTCACGCGTTTTTTTTTACCGCGATTCGTGGTAAAAAAGTCACGCGATTCCAAAGGCTACTTGGCTGTATCCCAATGGAAAACGCCCTACAAAACGGCCCAAAGTAGTCCCGGGACCTTTTCAGGCGTGGGCCGTTTTGTAGGGCGTTAGGGACGGGCGGAAATACGCCTAGGTGGGAACGAGACCATTGACTACAATGCTATTTATTTTTTTGACCGTTTTGTAGAGCGTTCGTCGAGCGTAGAACGCGCTACAAAACGGTCAGGTGTGAACGCAGCCTAATGCTTTCTTGCAGCACGATCGTACGCTGGCTGAATGAATCTCCCAGCGGAATGTTACATTTTGTTTTTTTGCTTCCTTCATACAACAAAAGGCTGAAACATTTATTTATCAGGTCACTTCTCTTCATTATTATTATTCCGGATATATATTGCGCAGCGCTTTACAACAGAACAATTACAGGGGGTGATGGTTCATGTGTAACGCCTGCAGCAAGCTCGTCTGCATTACATAATAGGGTAATAAAAGAGGTATTTTTTCTGCCAAATTTTTTTTTAGGTCTTTGAATGCCTGAGATGGATTCGGTGGCCTCACAAGGGGGGTCCGCCCTGCACCCAGGTGACACCATTGGAAGGGTGACACCAAAATGACCGAGTCATTTTGGTGTCACCCCCCCCCTCCCCCCCTAAAAAGTCAGGCACTCTGTCATAGGCCGAGAGCCGACTGTGTCAGGAGAGAGGAGGGCACCCTTCAGGCCTATCTCATCCTGCAGGTCGAACGTCCCCTCCTCTCTCTGCCGGCATCTATCACCAAGATGGCCGCCGGCAGGCGTCAATTAGATGACAGCGCATGCAGGATGACGTCACGGCGGGGTGTCACCCGGTCTCCGCTCCAATCTACAATCACATACTTTTAGATAAATTGCCGGCTTTGTGTTCTTTGCATTCCTTTTCTCTTTTCTTCCCCAGTCTTCTGGCAGCGGCCATGTTACTAGCTCTCCTTTTACTTCCTGAAAAGCTGGCACATGTGACTAGGACATGTGACCATGCACATCATCTCAGGGGAGGAAAATGCCTTTCCCGGAGATCTCGTGAGATTACAGATGAGATTTCCCGGCAATGCTCTGCCGATGACGAGACAATCCCAGCGTGCGTCGCTTTGCCAAACTGAAGCCATTTTGCCCTTTCAAAGCAGGAAGTGACTACTCTGCGAGTGTAAGTATTTCACAATCACCTGACGTGTCATCATACAGAGAGGGGTGCATTGGTAGAATGTGATTTTTGAGTAAAGCTTTGAGCTCTTTGTCATTTCCCCTCTATCAGGTTTTTGAGGATATGAAAAGTAACTCTACAATGGAAGCTGCAACAATTGTATCCGGACGGGTGATAGTCGCAGATGGAGAAACGCGGGACCTTTGTGGTCTCCGCCAGTCCCGGTCACACCGCCGGCCCTTCTCCGCGCACTCACCTGGTCTTTGAGCTCACTGAGCTGGCTGGACAGGTTGGTCACGAGACGCATGGTGGACTCCAACTTCTCCTGCAGGTTCCTAAGTTCGTTCTGTTCACCTTCCGAGTCGCTGCTCACCAGAGACATGGCTCTCATCCTCGGGAACCAGTCCAGGTTCCTCTCCTAGGGGCCGAGACGGAACAGATCAATATTATTATACGGAGTTGATGAGTTTTACCACATAAAAGGGACACAATACAAAATCAGGACAAGAGGGTCAGAAGGTTCCTGCTGAGAGCTCACAATCTATAAAGGGAGACCAGAGATACAAGAAGGGAATGACAGTTGGGGATGAGTTGATGGAGAAAGTTCAGTTGCTAGGAGAGGGCAGTATAGGTTTCTATGAAGAGGTGAGCTTTCAAAGCCAGGCAGATTGGGGTAGGGAGTTCCAGAGGATGGGAGATGCTCTGGTAACCACCATAGCCAACCGTTAAATGTCTCCTACCCCTCTACTAATCACTCCGTACCTCTTTTCCAGTCATATTATTGGCACAGCATCTCGCCCATTGTAGAGACATGAGCAGAATTAAGGAGCGCCTCGTGTCTTCTATATTGTATCATATAGAGAGAAGATCCCACACAGACCGAGCACCAGATAGGAGGTTTCATGTTAATTGAGGCAAACTCCATGTCTGTGGGAGGTAATACCTGCAAGTGTTACACAGAGATCACAGGACATACTTTAAGCTGCTTTTCCCTCCAGTAGGACATCACCATCTTTCTTTGGGCATCATCCAGGGTCACCACCTACTTCCTGGACTGAGATGCCGGCTCAGAGACCACACAGTCGTGTAAATCCCGCTGCCTGTGCAGTTCTTGGCTGTATTCACAAATATCTGCCACAGATCAACCCCGTGCTGCAGCCTCTCACCTCGTGACTTGCTACAAAGTTAAAGTCTGATCACTGGGGGAGACTGAGAAAATGCTTCTTCCTGCCTGCAGCAGACTGATCACTGAGGGAGGGTAACTGGGGATATGCTGCCTCCTGCCTGCAGCAGGCTGATCACTGGGGGAGGGGAGACTGAGGAAATGCTTCTTCCTGCCTGCAGCAGACTGATCACTGGGGAAATGCTGCCTCCTGCAGGCTGATCACTGGGGGAGGGGAGACTGAGGAAATGCTAAATCCTTACAATTTGCACAGTTTCTGTATATTGCGATGTGCCAGAAATGTTGCAGTTTCTATAATCTGTGTGCAGGAAGAAGCCATGAAACGTGACATTTCCTGGCCTGTAGGATTTGGGAACTGAGGGACTTGCAATAACCCGATACCAGAGGTCCACGTCCAGTAGCCGATATAGATTTCCTGGCCCTCTCCCAACGGTTCCCAGAAACATCCCCCTCACTCTGCAGACACGTCCCTCTCCCTCAGTCAGCACTTCTCTGCTAAAATGTGCCTCTCCCCCCCACCCCTCCACCCTTCCCACAGCTTCCTCCCAGCAGATGCGTCTAAACCACACAACAACTCTTCTAAGTAAAGGGACTGGAAAAGTCCCCTGGACGAAGAGCTCGGGTGCCTAGACATGTGGGCGGACAGCTGCGGAAACTCGGGGGGGTTTGCTGCAAGCCGCGGCGACCGCAGCAGTGTCAGGGAGGACGGGTGACAAGGCCAGCACCCTCGCTCAAACCGAGCGTCCCGGATCCGAGGCTCACATGGCTTCTGCCCACCCAGGAGACCAATTCATGGCCAGGAAAAACAGAAGATTTCATGGGAAGGAGAAGTGGGAACCCGGGACCGGGGGAGCAGCTCTGCTCACGTATCAATTCATGTGTCTAAATTTACTTGGTGAATCATTATGATCAGAATCTGCTCCTTCCTCTGTCCGGGGTATCCAAAATGTGGCCTCCAGCAGAGCAGAGCATTTCAGGAGAGGAGAGTTATAGAGGAAGGAGCAGAGTCCTCCAGCAGAGTATTTCAGGAGAGGAGAGTCATAGAGGAAGGAGCAGAGTCCTCCAGCAGAGCAGAGTCCTCCAGCAGAGTATTTCAGGAGAGGAGAGTTATAGAGGAAGGAGCAGAGTCCTCGAGCAGAGATGCCGCTTGATCATACAGAGATACACATACACAGACCAGAATCATGCTCTGCCCACTCACGGGGTAAGGTCACGCAGGGGTTGCGACGTGCAGAGGGGAAGTTGGGCAGAGTGGGTAGAGGGTAAATTTACAGCCCACAGACAATACCAAGAAAAGCAATGAAATTTGAAGAAGCAGAAGTCCCACCAGCCAAGTAATCGGATTGCACAAAGGATCTCCCTCTGTCGTCATCACATTACAAGGAAGGGTCTGTCTGCGCCCCCCCTCCTGCTTTTCTCAGCTACAGGGGTCATCTCCAGTGCAGGAAGTGGATTCCTCAGGGCCCCAAGCTGCTGAGAATCTGCAGTATAATCCGGTCAGGTGACCCGCCCACCGATGATTCAATTCTTGCTAACAAGGAACGAGTTGGCTGAGTTTGCACAGAGGCTGTTGTAACTTCCACAGCAGCACTTCCAAGGAAACCTGACAAATGTTCCAAGAATGTGATACTGGGACAACAGCACGGACATACAATACCTCTCCCACGTATTCCCTCACTAATCAGACTTTTCTTTAATCCGATTGTTGTCATTACCTGAAATCTAACTGCAAATCGCATCACCTAATAATCCATTCCAATAAAGGAGTGTTGGTTGTGCAGTTAGCCATGTGGGTGGTGTTATCATTTATACAACTCCCAGCAATTGTAAAAGTTCCCGTGCAGACCGTACGTGCGCCTACTGAAAAATTTGTAAACTGCTACAGTGGGGGGTCCCCGGTTCGAATTCCGGCCAGGTCACTCTCTGGATGTTCTCCCTGTGCTTGCGTGGGTTTCCTCCGGGTACTCCGGTTTCCTCCCACACTCCAAAGACACGCTGGAAGGTTAATTGGCTCCTCTCTAAGTTGGCCCTGTATGTATGCATGTGAGATAGGGACCTTAGATTGTAAGCTCCTTGAAGGGTAAGGAATGATGTGAATGTGCAACTATGTAAAGTGCTGCGTAAAATTGTCGGCGCTCTATAAATACCTGTAATAAATAATATAATAATATATGCCAATCCTAATAATATAAAAAATATATGTTACAAAGTTTGACCATTAAATATCTGGTCAAACGTATGTGAATGTCCTTCCAGATGATGGAGTTCAGATGTCTCCAGTGAAGGGTTCTGCTAATGCTACAACTTATCTTCAGGGATCTGTCCTCAAGACCATCGCAGTATGGCTAATGGTTTGTGGACACCTGACCATCACAACGACACTATTAGGTCAAAAAGACATGGTGTGACCAGTTTGTTGAAGACCCATTTCTGCTCCACCATGACGGACCCCTGTGCACAAAGCCCGCTCCATAAAGACATGGTGTGACCAGTTTGGTGAAGACCCTTTTCTGTTCCACCATGACTGTCCCCTGTGCACAAAGCCAACTCCATGGTGTGGAGGAGCTCAAGTGTCCCGCACAAGTTCTGACCTCAACCCTACTGAACACCTTTGGGATGAACTGGAACACTGATTGTGAACCAGGTCTTCTCATCTAACAGTACATGATCTCACAAATGTTCTTTAGGTCAGATGACCACAAGACACTCCAGAACCTTCGCAGAAGAGTGGTGGCCGTTTTAGTTGCAAAGAGGCACCAATATTGATGCCACATTAAATGACCATGGCTTTAGAACGAGATGTCCATCAAGCTCATGTATAGTATGATGGCCAGGTGTCCACAAACCTTTGCCCATATAGTGAAATGTGCAACCAGCTGGAAGCCATTAGATTTTGTTTGCTCTAGCACAGAAGCTTGGAGAACCTGCTTGGACAAAGCCACCCAATCAGCTGCTACCAGTACAGTGACCTTCATGGATGGGGGGAGGAATTTGATGCATCACAAAGTTAGGTTTTAGATCTTTGCTTAGTCTTTGTACAATGCTGCATTCAGATCAACATGGTGGAATCCCCCCCAAATCTCACCTTTATCATCTCAGCCACGTAACTCTCGGGTCCAGTATACTCCGTAGAATCTTTCACTTTCACCAATACAATAAAGAACAAATAATGCCACATGTTGTGTTCCTCCTTAATGTGCTCCTCAAACGTCACCGTTTTATTGTCAAACTTGTCTCGTTCCAGCCCTAAGGGTGAGAGAGAAGGTGTCAGCGAGAGGATATTCTCATTCTAGAGACTTTCAGCTTGTGTGCGATTAAAACTTGGCTTTCTACTAGCAAATTCCGTCAACCCAGATCAATGATCTAGCAGAGGACCTCTCCTCAATCCTAAACAGATCCACAGATTTCCTGAGAAATAAAAAGAAATCCAACTGCCTAGGGCGGCCCCAACATCAGATCAATTTCTACAGAAAGGTAATATGTGTAGACGTCACAACATAACGAAAACAAAAACCCACCACAAATGAAACACGTAGTCTTTATAACTTCCTCTTTCTTTTGTTTCTCACTCCTCAGGTCAGCAAAGGTGTCAATGATAACACCAAAGATCAAATTCAGGACGATGATGATGACCATGAAGAAGAAGAGCAGATCGTAAATAACACGGGCTGCAAACAGCGGCTCCTGTGAAGAGGGAAGAGAGTCTCCGGTGATCAAAAAGTCATTCCAGAAAACGTCATTGAGGAAGGGATTTAACATTCATGGAGGCAAAATAAGAACACCCATCTGTGTTTCTAAGTGTCTCGGTACAGCTGTATGATTTCCTCAGCAGTGTCTCTGTGCATAGGCACCACACTTTCAACTACGGATGCACCAATAGCGGTTTTTCGGTATCAAGTACGAGTACCGATATTTTGCTTTCGGTGCTCACCGATACTGGTGCTTCCGCTGGCATGCAGCCCGCTTCCCGGGCGACTCGTAATAGCATGCCCGGGAAGCCGGCTCCATGTTGCTTGGCCGGCTTGATTGGGATTGGCAGGGAAACCGGCTTCCCAGCCAATCAGCATGGAGCCGGCTTCCCGGCTAATCAGGAAGCCGGGCGCCGGGACACGCCTAATCAGGAAGCCGGGTCATTACTCGCCGCCTGGCTTCCTGATTGCATGGGAAGCCAGCTCCATGTTCCCCCCTAAGGCAATGCCGGTCAGAAGAAGTTCCGGTATCGGGGAAGGTATCGTAGCATTTGGGCGAGTACGATTACTTACCCAAATACATGGTACTGGCACCAATACTAGTATCGATATCGGTGCATCCCTACTTTCAACTATCTCCATTACCCCAGGCACAGGGGAAGATCAAGATATGGGTGGTGGTGTTGCTGGGTCAAGGGGTTTCTGGACACTTTGGATTGTCACTTAGCATTATGAAGAGTGCACAGGTGATGGAAAAAAGAATGATACAATGTAACAGAAGAACAAGGGGCCAATGGGCAGAGGCTACAGCTCAGAACTCTGAGTGAAGGAGAGCTCAGCCAATCCTGCATGAGGAGCAGAGAAATGCACTAATCTCGGGTTATATCTTTATATTCTTGGCCTTCCCCCAGTACTGATCAGTGCAATACAATACAGGTGAAACTCGAATAATTAGAATATCGTGCAAAGTTCATTTATTTCACTAATGCAACTTATGCGGTGAAACTAATATATGAGATAGACTCATTACATGCAAAGCAAGATAGTTCAAGCCGTGATTTGTCATAATTGTGATGATTATGGCTTACAGCTCATGAAAACCCCAAGAACCCCAAATCCACAACCTCAAAAAAGTAGATTATTACATGCAATCAATAAAACAAGGATTGTACATAGAACAATATCGGACCTCTGAAAAGTACAAGCATGCATATGTACTCAGTACTT